TCCCCCCCCCCCCCCCCTCTATTATATAGCAGATGTAGTAGCCAAAAAGGAGTGAAATGCAGAGTTGTCCCTCCTACTATGAAGTAGCTAAAAAGAGTTGTCCACTCTACTATATAGCAGATGCAGTTGCCACAAAAAAAAACGAGTGAAATGCAGAGTTGTCCCCGCTACTATATAGCAGATGCAGTAGCCACAATGGAGCAATATACAAGGTTGTCCCCGCTACTATATAGCAGATGTAGTAGCCAAAAAGTAGTAAAATGCAGAGTTGTCCCCCCCCCCCTATTATATAGCTGATGTAGTAGCCAAAAGGGAGTGAAATGCAGAGTTGCCCCCCAAATATATAGCAGATGTAGTAGTCAAAAAGGAGTGAAATGCAGAGTTGCCCCCCAACTTTATAGCAGATGTAGAAGCCAAAAAAGGAGGTAAATGCAGAGTTGTCCCTCCTACTATGTAGTAGCCAAAAAGGAGCAATATGCAGAGTTGTCCCCCCTAGTATATAGCAGATGTAGTAGCCAAAATGGAGCAATATGCAGAGTTGCCCCCCCTAGTACATAGCAGATGTAGTAGCCAAAATGGAGCAATATGCAGAGTTGTCCCCCCTAGTATATAGCAGATGTAGTAGCCAAAAAAGGGTGAAATGAAGAGTTGACCCCCCTAATATATAGCAGATGTGGTATTCAAAAAGGTGTGTAATGTAGAATTGTCCCCCTACCTTATACGTGATGAAGTCTCCAAAAATGAGTGAAGTGCTAAGTTGTCCCCTACTATATAGAGGATGATAAAGCCAAACAGGAGTCAAATGCAGAGCTGTCCCCCTACTTTTTTGCAGAGGAAGTAGCCAAAAAGGAGTGAAATGCAGAGTACCCCTAAATATATAGCAGGTAGGGTACATGTAGCCATTAAGGAGTGAAATGAAGAGTTGACCCCCCTAATATATAGCAGATGTGGTATTTAAAAAGGTGTGTAATGTAGAATTGTCCCCCTACCTTATACGTGATGAAGTCTCCAAAAAGGAGTGAAGTGCTAAGTTGTCCCCTACTATATAGAGGATGATAAAGCCAAACAGGAGTCAAATGCAGAGCTGTCCCCCTACTTTTTTGCAGAGGAAGTAGCCAAAAAGGAGTGAAATGCAGAGTACCCCTAAATATATAGCAGGTAGGGTACATGTAGCCATTAAGGAGTGAAATGAAGA